TACGACTATTGCGATAATGGGGGTTAAGACGAACCGCGGACGAGTGGGGGGTGGGGGGGAGTGTAGAGTAGAGTGTAGGGGGGCCCCCAGGGCAGGCCATGACTCAGGACGAGAAAGACAGAGAAAAGGAGGGAGAGAGAGAGAGAGAGAGGGAGGGAGGGAGGGAGGGAGAGGGAGAAGCTCCGTGGCCCCACAGCATGAACTGGATTTCCCATTGAGCCCTCACGCATGCGCACGCACGTAGTACCCCTCCCGCTCACACCCGCAACCGGTCGCGTCCGTCCGTCCGTCCGTCCAACCCCCCCAAACCCCCAACCCCCTTCCAGATTGTTCCGCGGCTCCGGTCCGAGGTCAACTACTGGCGGGATCTGGTTCCGCTGGTGGCGGCGCTCCGAAACCCGCATCTCAAGGAGCGACACTGGGTCAAGGTGAGGGAGGGGGGAAGGGGGAACTGGGGGTGTGGCGGGGGGTACTGTCGAGCAGGCGAGCGGGAAGAGAGGGAGGAATGGCCAAGGAGGTTTGGAAGGTGCGGGGAAACGCCGAAAGAGTTCGGGCAACTGTGATCCCGTGTTTGCACATACACACACATACATACACACACATACGCATTCACACACACCGCACTCTACCCCACCCTGCAGGTGAATGCCGCTGTGGGTCGCTACATTGAGCGCAATGAGGACCTGACACTGCAAGCACTTCTGGATATGAAGGTAGGGGATGGAATTGGGGGAACATGTGTGTATGTGTATGTGTATGTGTATGTGTATGTGTATGTGTGTGTATGTGTCGGTGTCGGTGTATGTGTTTAGCAAAGCGGTGTCGCCATCACCACTTTTTTTGGCTATGTAGCTGTACATGACACGTATTTGGGGATCTCATGTGTTTGTCTCTGAATTTGCCGTGTGGATGCTATTACCCACCTTTTACTCTTCCTTCCAGCACTCGCCCACCCAAACCCCTCCTCCCCCCTCCTCTCCCCCTTCCTTCCTCCCCTCCAGCTTCTCTCTGTCCGCGAGGCCATCTCCACCATTTCGACTGAGGCAACCCAGGAGGCGGCCCTGGAGGCACTGTTGGATAAGGTGAGGGGGCCGTGCGTCTGTACGTCTATCCGGGTATGTGTATGTGTGCGTCTGTATCTGTGCGTCTGTATCTGTGCGTCTGTATCTGTGCGTCTGTATCTGTGCGTCTGTATGTGTAAATATGTGTATGTCTGTATGTACCACTTCTACAATCCACCCCCCCACTCGGGTCACCACCTCAGATCGTCGACAAGTGGCGTCATGTGGAGCTGGCGCTCAGGCCGTACAAGGCCCTCAAAGACACGTACGTGCTGGGGGGAGTGGACGAGGTACTGGCCGTACTGGAGGATAGTACGGCAGTTATGGCGGCAGTGAGCGCCTCCAGATATGTGGCAGGAATTCGGTGAGTGGTTCTTCTATGGGTTTTTAGGGTTTATTAGAGGATTAAACGGTTTTTACGGTTGCACTGGATGGATGTGTTGACGATGGGCCTTATCACTAGAGGTGTTTTGGGGAGTGTGCGTTGCGGCGAAGGGGGGAATTCCTACTTCTTCCCATGTCCCTCCCCCTCCCCCTCCCTACTGACATATCGAGTGTGTCGCAAGGAAGGACAGATATACCTACACCCTTAACCCTACTACCACCACCACAGCCGCCAGCACCCCACTACCACTATTATACCATCACCACCACCCTAATCTTCCCCCCCACTACAAAAGAACTGAATCCCTTTTTTTCCGCGAGTTTAAATGGTCGATAACTGATTGTTCTTAGGGTTTTGAATGTATGATCTCCCCCCCTACACACACACACCTCTCCCTCCCTTCGTCTCTCATTTCCCTTGCCGTCCCTCCCTCCCTCAGCTCGGAGGTTGAGCGCATAGACAAGCAGCTGAAGCTGTTCGGTGACACCTTGGACGAGTGGCTGGACGTGCAACGACAGGTAGCAGTGCGGGCTGGAGGGGGCGCCTGGAGGGGGGGCCCTGGAGGGGGGGACTTGGAGGGGGAAGAGGGGGCCCGCAGGGGGGGGAGGGGGGAGAGGGGAACTGTTGGAAAGGGGGGAGGGAGGAAACGTTATG